AAATCACAGAATTAGATGGAAATAAAACATGCTGAACGTTTTAGAAAGATATTCAGAATATAGAGGTTATTTTGGTTTACTCACCTGTTAAAACCTAATACCTCCACTGAAGTCATTATCAGGTATTTGACTTTGCAGTCCTACTTGCTCTTTATTTTACCTTTATGTTCCAAGCACTTTTAAAACACACACTGTCTAGACATACTTTACAGAACTCTGCGTAGAGGGACCATTTTGGCATCGTTGAATGTAAGTTATATTAGAACAGATACTCCATTCTGGTGATGATTCTAAAATCCTCAGATTAGTAAATTCATATATAATTTATAAATCTATTATTATTTTACCTATATATATATAAAACAGTAGCTTAATCAGGCCACACAAAACTTCATGTTTAGAATAAAGGTCTGAGAGTGCCAGTAACTATTCCTGTGGTAGCCTGGATGCCTTAAAGCTCCACTGTCTGTCTTTGTCTCCTTGCAAAATAGTTGTTCCTTTTCCATTCAAGTTTCTGTTAGATAATCTTCAGAACATCTTTTAATGTAATGGATTTTCTTCATTATATTTGTTATCTGCTAAATTAAATCTGGCCTTCTCCATTTCCCCAACTTCTGGTCTGGTTTTAGTTCGCATGTTTTTCTCCATTTATCTTTCTAGTACAAAGATAAAAAAATTAATGTGAACCAGCAATTGCTTTTTTCTCATTCACGTTGTGTGTGACTTCGATTGTATTTCTTGCCTACTCCACTTGGTATGAAAGTTTACATTAATTATTATTTTTCTCCCTCATCTACGATCCTAAATGCAGTCTTTGTGTATTCTGGTTTAAAAGATACAGAAAATTTCAGTACTTTAGCCTGATACTGCTTTTGCAGTCAGATCCTAAGTTCTTGATACAGGATGTTCCAGAGATAGTTACTTTATATACTCATATTATGTATTCACAATTCAATACTGATGGGTTATGCAATGCTCAGTTTATTCTATTGCCTTCCCAGCTGATTACAATACAAATTCTATTTTCACCAAGTCAAGACCATTTCCTAAATCCTCAGAAGCTATCAGCAAGACTTCTCTGCAGAAAATTAATCAGATGAAGACCATTAGCAATGTTCTATTACATGAACCTGAATGATACAGAATTCCTCGTAGCTAGCATCCATATAAATAGAGATGTTTGCTAAGCCATAAACATGCATTATTTAAGTTCAAGCTAAATTTGAAAAGTAAGATGCTTTAATTATTTCCTTATTACTGCTTAGTATTTCATCACTTAATTTTGAAATTACTTACTTCCTCATGATATTATGAAAACAGTGTGTAGGTCTTAGCAGTAGTTTGTCTTAATATTTATTTTGGTATATCTAATGTGTAACGATAAATATCAGTTAAGCTTTGAACATACTGAGAACCTCTAAAGGCTTAACTCATTCTCTGGTCTGTTAAGAGTATATTTATTAAGGCTGCTGCTTAACAGGGAGACAAGACAATTACATCTCCACTAGTGTGCAGGTGTAGCACAGCATCAAGACAGCTTGAACTTAAGTGTAATGCGAGTCTCAGGTCTGCCCAGGATCCAGACTTTCCACAGTGAACCTAGATTCTTGCCCCTCAATAGCATTTTGTGAAGCTCTGGCTTTTCACTAAGGAAACACTGGGTTTGCTTTTCCCTTCCTATTATCTGTACTGTATCTCTGCTGTGATTATTTCCATCCTAGATTTCATCTGAGTTGCCACCTTAACAATGACAATAGCATTTGCCTGTCTTCTCAAAGCAACTCTCAGTTTGAAAAGGTCACTGCTAGAACGACGTCCAACATGGCTCCACCATTTTATAGACAAGACTATGCCAGTCCCTCTTCCTTTATGGGCTTGCTTGGCACATTCTGGTATTAAGATTTGAAGGATCCACTCCAGTCTGCAAAAGAGAAGGCAGATTCCAAGTGCCCTGAGGCCATGGCAGGAAGAGGGATGTTCCAGACACTGGTTTCAGACATTAAGTGTTTGAGAACCTCTGTGATTTCTACCTGATCTTGCTGTGCTTGGAATATCCAGCTGGGGCTAGTACCAGCTAATGCCTTTTGAGGCGGAGGTGGTGGGCACTTTGGTTGTCAGAAGTTGGAGAGGATTTCATGGAATTGATTACTATGACCCTTGGTCTGGGAGCATTCTAATCAATACAATCTGCTTACTAACCTGAAACACAAAGCAAAATGCCCCAAACCTGGATTACTAGCTTTAAAGCAGCACTTTTCAATTTCTTACTGGGGTAAGACAAGTATAACCATGCAATAGCATGCAATTAAAAAGCCCCAACAACTCACACACCCCAAAAAACAAATCCCCACAAAAAAACCCAGCACTCTTAAATAAGTACCAGAAATGCACTTAAATCTCTTTCATTGCTAATACGTCATAAAAGATTTTACTTCATCTTATCACACAAAGTTACAGGCACATTAACATAAACCCATGTGCAAAAATGCACAATCGATTAATGCTGATTGACTGTTCACCAGATACACTTTATTCTGATTCTAGCTATGAATACGCATGTAAACAACAATTATGAAATAATTTTAAGGAAAAAATACAACTGAGTTTTTTTACAGATACTTTGAAATTTCTTCCACTACCATTTGGATAGAAAAAGACAGGAAACAAAAATGTTGCAATCAGATGACTTAGAAAAGATGTTATATAGAAGCAAACTTAGTAAAATACCATGCAATAGCTCCCTATTTACTCGGTTTTCCTTTATATCCTTTAAACCTCATATTTGCCTTTTTATTCTTAAAAAATAATTCTATAAAAATACAATACTCCCTTAACTACAGTTTACTTTTTCCACTGGATTTATTGCAACTATAATTTACACACAGTAAATTATGCACTTCATGACTACCCAATATGACCATTGGCTGCTATCTGCACTGCAGTCCTGATCCTGTTTTCATGGAAGCCAGTGACAAAACTCTCGTAAGCTTCAAAAGGAGTGAAGCACACACCTCACTTCATTAACTGTTCTGACATAATACAAAGTTACATCAGACATTTCAGTTCTTTACTGTTCATTTTAATTGTCAGAAAAGGCAAATCCCAAATTTAGAATTTTTATTTAAGCAAAGCAAAATACATTATTATCCCCTGGGTTTATATCTAAACTGACTTGCTTTCCTTTTGCCTATATGTAAAAAATAAGATTAAATTTTTATTATTACAAGACTACTTGTAATAATAAAATAAACTAGTAAAATAGTAAAAACTGAGGCTTATGAATGCTCTGAGCATGAAATGGCATGCAAACAGTTTGCTTGCTGTTTAGTTAATGTCTTCAAAGAGAATGTTGTGTTCACATGCACACTGGTGATTTTCTCCATAAGGTATAAAGAAGTTTGCTATGCAAACTCCCAGTAAGGGCGAGCCATTGAAGCAGAGTTTTGGCTTTCAATATGCATTTGTCAAATTCAAATTGAACACAGCTATGGCTATTTCTCTGCACCTAAGAGTTACACTAACTTTTTTTCCCCATACAAATATATGGTTTAAACAGTCATCAATAAATACAAGAGGGCTAACCACTCCCTACAGCTCAGAAAGGCTGGAAAGATCCAAGTTTGAAACCATGTACAACCCAACAAGACTGTATTGATCATCTTGCAATCAAGGTGGTCAGAAAGTCATTTACACATAGCACTGAATCAATAACCTGTGGCTAACCATGCAAATAGTCCTGGTATCTAGAAGCTATTTAAATATGCGAATACAAAGGAAATAATTGACTAAATGCTGCTTTAGCATCTCCTGGCAATTAGAAATCTGGGAATGGCCTCTCACAGTACTTCACCTCAACTGCAAGTCTCATTTACTGCTGCCTCCATTACAGAAACACACGAGCTTGAACACAGAAGAATAGTTGCACATCTTTGTGAAGAGTGGTAGAAATCTTGCTACTTTGTAATAATTAATCAGAGGTTTGTAAAAATAATATATTCAGTATATGTAGAGGGAAAAAAACCTGCATTGATCCATTACTAACTTTATATTCAGCATTCAAAATAAGTCAAAAGGGAACACCAATGGCAGCAAAGTAACTCAGGGTTTTAAAATATCTTGGTATTAGCTATAATCTAGCACCTACACTGGTACTGAATAATTGAAAAAAAGCATGCATTTAAATAGCTTTTTAATTCACAGATGTCAGAACATATGAAGTGCATCTTAATACCCAACTTTTTCAGCAATAGAAGACCATAATAATGTCACCTTACAACAAATAGCTATTTTTACTAAAAAAAAAAAATAAAATCTATGAGCAATCACTCCAGGCTTTAACACATTACACCAATAAAGACACGAAGCCGAAATTGCACATGTACAAAACAGCCGATATATAAACTTCATATTCAGCTTCTGTTTGCTGAATTCCCTACTTGTCTGCTGGGAAGAAGAGAACTGATATTGCTAATTAGACTATTGGGAAACAAGATGGCACAATACAAATGATTTTATTCCACTCAAAGATAAGCAAGTCTGTTCCCATGATTCTTTCAGCAGAAGTGATCAGACTGAACTAAATCTCCCATCTACTCTCAATCAGGTTTTAGAAGAAAGCTCTACTGCTGTACTATCTAGGAAAACAAATGGAAAGAACACCCCCTGCTCTGCCCTCCCCAGGCACAACATTGCACCACGGCACTGCTGCACAGTTTGTTACTAAAGCATTTAATGCTATAAAGATAAAATACATTCATTTAGCACACATGGGCATCAGTTACACAATCTTAAAAGCATACGTTTGATAAAACCTTCAGGTAGAACAATAAAGGCAACAAATGTTTCCCCTCCTCAGAACTGAAAAGCTGTTTAAGAATATACTTAAAACGTCCCAAAAACTAAAACCAAAACACCCACAAAAATCAGTGACTCCATCCTGGGCAGAGATGGCCTTGCTCTGGGGGCAGAGTGATATTGAAAAAATTATTTCAGATGGCAAATTGCTGCTTAATGTCAAAACAGTTTCTTTAGGTTTTATCCAAAGGATTTGTGCGCCTTGATAGGGTATGCTACCAATTTATTTAAACCTTTCATTTCCTTGCTATTTTTAGCTTCTGGAGGCCAGCATAAAACACTTACTAGTGCTTAATGGCTTGTTCTCTCATTGCTGTCATTACAGACCATTGAAATGGAAAGTTAAGTGTACAGTTTGAATTCATAGGTGCTTGTTTTCCACTGGTTGTCTTCTACATTGATCATGTTGCACTCTGTGAAAGTAACCCATCCTTCAGAATCAATGAGAAGGACTGTGTTAGTCCTGAAACAACAGAAGGGTAGGAGGTTAAGTCTTGTGTCTCTGATACACATTTGTAGAGTCCCAGCTCTCAGCCCCAAAGGTTTTAGCTCATTTTTTCCCTTAACCACATCACCACAACACTAGCAGGGCACAAATCATCCAGGCAAGTTCAAACAGGCATTTTCAGTCCCTTCTTCTGTCACTCCACTGCTCCAATTCCCTACTGCACTTGAAGCAGCTGACACAAAGCTGCTCATTTAGAAAGTATGATAAAAGGTTAAACTTTTTTTAGTGTCAAGTGTTCCATTCAGAATTAGCATAAACCCAAGCTTTTCTTCACAGCCTACATATACCCTGACGGGCTATTCATATCAGTGGTACTCTTTCATTCCTTCCTTTCAAATCCATTGTCCATTAATATTTAAACATCATTAATTATTATCACAGGACACTGACACATGATCACAGAGAAACTTTTCTCTCTGTAGGAACCTTCCAAAGAAGACATTTGTTTTCATGAAAAGCAGATTCCATTCCTGCATCTATGCCACGCTGTCATGTGTGAGCTGTTGCTTCTGTATGGACACTGCGGTACCCTGCCAGACAGAGATGACTGACAAAAGTAGGAATTTTCCACCATCCTGATGTGGTGGCTTTCTCCAAGTCATTTCACAGTTGTTCACTCATGTAAAACAGTGCTTCATTTCCTCAGAAGAATGTTATGAGGCCTAATTAACAGCCTCTATTCACTAAGCCATGTTGCTAAGGGAATGGTAAGTATGAGCATACAATTACAGTAGCAGGGAAGACTTGAAATGTAGTGTTAATTCACCAGTAAGAGGTCAGCATTTCTACTGAGTTATCCTTGTTTCCTTTGAAATAGCTAGACTGCAACCTGTGAAGCAAAGGGAGGAAGATGCTGCTTTACTGTTTTAAGTCATCATTATCTATATTTAAAATGTTCTTTGAATACATTTTATAGAGATACTCAGTTTTGGCAGTGGTTTCTTTCTCAGTATACTAACTTAAAATACTTACAGAAGGGAGTGTTCTCTGCTTAGCAATTTACATCTCTGCAGAGGAAATACTATGGCTGATTATGCCAGAGAGACCAATCTGACAAAATTGTTGGCAGACTTTTAAAGTAGGAATTCCCTCCCAGCAGCAACAGGGTTCACCTATAATTTTGTCCCATCAAAGATTAAATGCAATATTGATTGCATTATTCTATTCTTGCTGCTTTAGAAGAACAGTCTGAGCAGAAAGTAAGAATATCTCAGTAAAACCAGCAGTATCAGTTAAGGGAAAGTGGAAATACATGTTCTTTTGAACAAGAGTAATAGGTTTTTAATGTATGAAAACGACAGCTATGTATTACGATGACATGCCTAAAGAAACCTCTCACTTAGCTATGCAGATGATACTATTCTCATTCTTGAAAAAGAAATGTGTTTGCCAACCGTATCCTGGGCTGCACCAAAAGAAGCATGACCAGCAGGTCAAAGGAGGTGATCCTGCCCCTCTACTCTGCTCTCGTGAGACCTCACTTGGAGTATTGTGTACAGTTCTGGTGTCCTCAACATAAAAAGGACATGGAGCTGCTGGAGCAAGTCCAGAGGAGGGCCACGAGGATGATAAGAGGACTGGAGCACCCTTATGAAGACAGGCTGAGAAGGTTGGGGCTGTTCAGCCTGGAGAAGAGAAGACTGCGTGGAGACCTCATAGCAGCCTTCCAGTATCTGCACGGGGCCTATAAGGATGCTGGGGAGGGACTCTTCATTAGGGACTCTAGTGGTAGGACAAGGGGTAATGGCTTTAAACTTAAACAGGGGAAGTTTAGGTTAGATATAAGGAAGAAGTTCTTCACAGTGAGGGTGGTGAGGCACTGGAATAGGCTGCCCAAGGAAGTTGTGAATGCTCCAACCCTGGAGGTGTTCAAGGCCAGACTGGACAGAGCCTTGGGCGACATAGTTTAGTGTGTGGTGTAGCTGCTTATGGCGGGGGGTTGGAACTAGATGATCTTAAGGTCCTTTCCAACCCTAACTATTCTATGATTCTAATTCTGCAGTATCTCTGGTAAGATCAAAATTAGAGGTGGTCAGATCTGCTACTACACTGGGTAACTGTATTATCTTGCCTTCAAAAACCAAAGCTATGTCACACTCTCCACCAGAGTTGAACCACGTGTGCTTAAAATGCTCATCACTAGTAAATCTAATACACCAAAATACTGACCAAGGAAATAGTTCATTGAGTTATACTTGATTAATATCTAAATAAGTTTAAAGCAATCACTATAGAATTAAAACTTCTGGCAGTATAATTTTGATCAGAGATACACTTTGATCCAGTACACATTTATTTCCAAAAATGAAGTTTCTTACCTTGTTCCATAACCTGGGCAACGAACACAAATAGCTGCATACTCATTCAGTACAGGACGTATGTAATCCTTCCCTTGCTCTTCAATTGCAGGGTCTGGTAATTGACTGAAAAAAGAAGTAATAAAAAGATATGAATACTGAATTTTCCAATATCAACACATTCATCCCTCTAGAAGCAAGCTGTGTTGACTGAGTGGTTGATAAATACCAATCACTTTTCAAAAAGTACAACAGCGTGAATGGTGTTCAAACCTAAAGTATGAGGAAAACCAAGATAAACCAGCTTGTTTAGCTCTTTCCCCAAAGAGATTCTTTCAAGCTTTTGAACTTTTGTCTCACTTTAAGAAATATTTTTCATATCTTGACAATTTTTTCACTTTCCTTGTTATTCTTTGTCTGCCTTTCTGGTATTTTAGTTTAAATTAAAACATTAATGACCAAGTAATTTGATGCCTGAATCAAATCACATGAATGAGCATTTTTCCAGTTAGACTTGGAATTCTTTTTGTGTTGAAGAAAGACCTCTCTGCTTCCTTTGATCTTATCTGGAATACCTGGGAAACACCCAGGACAATCCCCAAAATAAAATTTGTGAAGATGCATCAGGTGACAAGGTGAGCTTGCAGCCACCTGAATTTCTTGATACACATTTTCCTGTCCAAGCTTGAAAGATGTTTAGAAACATAATTTTATTATAAAGCATGTCAATCTTTGTTTATTGTAATTAGACACGTATCAGCACCCCACAGAAGAGATGCTAAGGTCACAAAGGTTACTGCAACAACCCTACATCCCTGGCTTTCCATTCACGTCACCAGAGCATGTTCTCAAATGCTAGCCATGACTACAGCTTCCTATTTCAGTAAAGATTCCAATGTTATTTATCAAATCTATCAATTTAGCAGCAGGTTTGTGTGTTTGGTTTTTAAGTTTCTTCCATCTTCTAAGAAATAATCCTATTTCTGCCTTCTAGAACAGGCCCATCTATAATTGTACCTATAATATTGTAATAATTCAGCAGCCTATCAACTGTACAGTGAATGTTGGGAAAAAAAGGCAGAACAGAACAGACTGATAATTCAACCTCATTTTCAGACCTGTAGTGGAGACTGTGCAATTTGTTATACTCTAACCGACCTTTACCTCTAACTGGGATCATTTTCATTGTTGCTGTGTTGGAGAAGAGGACTTCTGGGTGTTTCAGAGAAAAGCAAGAATAGGTGTGAACAGAGCAACTAAGCTCTTCTGATGCCTGTGTTGGGCATAGGGCTGGAGCATACCATGATGTAACAGAGAGGGCACACAGCAGGACACTTCAGCCCCTGAGACCCATCAAGCCTGTGTCTCGTACTGCACCACTGGCAGCTCTTGTATACTCTGCACAACTGGCTTTCCAGCTTAATGACCCTAAGCAGTTTTAAAGAGACTGAAAGAGTGCAGTACATCCCTGAGATCAGTCATAGGTGGGACTAAAGCAGAAGAGAGGGGATAAAGGACAAAGTCCTGTATCCAGAAAGAAAGAAGGGAATTCTAAGAGTAAACCACTTAATTCCTGTACATACACAAAGTGATCATAAAGTAATATGCAGTAAGATACTTTAAGAAACTTCAAAGCTAGTGCATATCCATGTATTCAAGATGAAATTATCTTTTCATAACAAATATGAAGTGTGCTTTGGAAATATTACAAACCTAATTTTGAATATTACTTTTTGTAAGTAAGTATTTCCATTTTATAGTCAGATTATTTCAGATGAGATCATACTGAATTACTGAACATTATGATCACTTGGACTGTAATGTATCTTATACCTTTGTCTTTTTACTAGTAAAAGGTAAAGTGTAACATTTTTTTATGAGAAATCCCTTCATCTGGTATCAGATTAAAAAGTAATTAAGTTGGCTTAGTAGACTTCCCAATTGCTACTCACTGCTCAGATGTCCAATTCTTAAGTAAACATCTACTCTGAACCACTGAAAAATGCCACAAACATTAATATTGGCATTAAAATTGACTGATAAAGGTAGGAAACTGGACCTATATACCAGAAACAGCTTTGCTTCAACAACCCCTAGACAGGTAAAAATCAGGCAAAACATGAAAGATACTGGATGGTGATCAATGGTATGAATATAGACTGCAGCACCTCCTTTACCCTACTCCATGTCTGGACACTGAAATGGTGTAAGTTTCCTTTACTTCTAAACATCTAGCTTATGGTTCCCTGTGTAGCAAGTCATGAGTGCAGGAACCTTACGTACTCAAACTCATCTCTTGGGAACTTCCTGGACCAGAGGCCTACAGCGGAACTGTGCAAATACACCCTCAACTCCTTCCCCCATTTAGCCTAAAACAATTGCACTTTTGGGGAAGGCAGATGGTTCTACTTTGAAAATAGCTTGCTTTTCCACCCTCTGTCTACACTCTGGGTAGTAACAGAGAGTAGCTAGCAGCTACTAACACAAACCTGCTCATGTAAACAAATGTTCACCCTGTGTGCAGTAACAAACAGAATCTTACCCTGCAGAGATCCTCCACAAAGCTTACAAGCAACTTACAAATCCCTTGTTTTGCACTTACTACCCTTACTAAGAGAAGTGTAGTTTTTAAAAGAAAAGGGCACAGAGAAATCAGTGTACAGTCTATGAGTACCAAGACTGCAGTAATAATGTTTACTGTGCCTGCTGCTTAAAAATCAATATTGTTGAAAGTCTCTGTGGAGACGAAGAACCCTACTTTTACCCTTCATTACCCAGCTTTAGTCGATTAAATTAAGACTAAAGTTTATTTTCTGTCAAAATAGTTTCTAGATGCAACTTTTAAAATGGTCATAATCATCATGTCCTTACGACTGTTGATTATTCATCACTGTGAGAAGCTCCTGCACCAATTCTTCTTTGGTAAGGTCTTGACTTCTCTTGACCACATCTGTGAAAAGCTGCTTCCCATATTCAAGTTTCTTCCATGGTGTATCCAACAGAGAATTACTCAATCCATATATTCCTATAACATAATATAAAAACAGTAACAACCAACTGTTCACAGACCAATCCCTGTGGAGCACTTCTAGCAGCACAGGATCTACATGCTTACTAAATAATGTTCAAGAAGGTGGTGGTGGGGGGAGATCAGTGTAATTGCAGCGGGTATTCTGGTGATTTGCAGTTGTCATTACACATTTCACAAGTTTTATTAAAGTTCAGGTGATTCCCCAGCTAATCTTTTCCTGCAGGTAAGCTATAAAACACTTTCCTAAACCGGAGACTACAGCAGGCATGTCTTGCACTAGGCTATGCTTAGGCACTTTTCTGTGCTAATGTTCAGTACTTTGTTTGAGTTTCACTCTAATCCATATTTGCAGGAGTTACTTTTAACCTCTGGTTTGCCAAAAGGTGTAACAGAACTATACATATTTTTTGCACTCTAGTCTTTTCCAGGTTAGCTACATTAATCAACTTATTTTGGCCTCTGATTTTACCCTTGAAAACCACTGCAAAGCAAAATTAGGTATCAAGAAGAAGCCTTCTCTTTAGAAGTACCCTACATTCTCAACACAATCCCAACAACTAAGCACAAAGATTAAACCTCATCTCTCCCTAAAGGCAGCCATGTACACAGAAAAGGAGTTAGTTGTTGAGGCATGGAAACCAGAACTACTTCTGCTACAGTCTACAGATACCTAAAATCTGTGATGCAGTTTCCAATCAGAACAAGCAGCCAGGGTGTTTTTTTTAAGTATTTGTACTAAAACCTGTTTTGTGCCTGTAGCTGTACAAAATCTAACAGCTATTTCCAAGAATTTATGCTGTGATTGCAACAGTAGCTATTTGCCTACTGGCAGCAACATGTTGGCCATTAACCTAAGCAGGCAAAATAAGCCACTGTCATTAACTTTTATTAGCCAACTATGCTGCTCAGAGCCTTCTGTGTCCCCCTTGTCCATTTAAATTGGCTTTTTGGTAATGAATTCTGGAGTACTGCTCTATCTAGTTGCTAGCATAGGACTGAATTTTGAATATACACCTGATAAAACAGATTAAAAATAAACTAAAATTAAGCCAACTCTGTTCCTAAGGGAGTATAGGCACAATATGCCCTTCACTCTACTGGGTAAGGAGATTCTGAGTCAAATCCCTGAACCTTTGAAAATTCCATTCCTCAAAGCAGACATCTGTCCTTCAGAGTTACCTAAGGAGCATCCCACTAACTCTGTGTTCACTGCCATGAATAGAAGCTTTTAACAAACTATTTATTCTTTACTGTAATTTATTAGTAAACACTTAAATGAATTTAAGAATTGTATTTTTTTAAGAATGCAAAGAAAAAGTGAGTGAGGACAGTGCTTCAATAGCTGGATTACTAGAGCAATACAGCTACATTCTGAGTCCTTTAAAATGACAAAAGGTAGTATTCAGACTTTTCTGAAGAAAACCTACCAGCATTTAGGAAAACAGGTTCTGGTTCTCCTTTGTTTCCATAGTAGCAAATTACATCTCCTTTGGTGGTACTGAAAAATATAAATAAGAATTTCTCCTTGAAAAACCATCAACTTCTATATTTGATTACGCTTTAATTTAACACAATTGTCAAACAGCAAGATGCTTCTCCCACTGCTACGCCTATGATACCACAGCCCTGAGATTGATGAGTTACATTACTCTCCTCCTCACAAAATACTGCATTACCTGTATCACTGTCAAAGATTACATTATCATATTTAATCATAACTCTAATAAAATTCAGTAAAATCCCACAACTGCTGAATGGAAAGTAGCCAGGCCTAATGACACCTGTACAGTTTTGAATAACTGGAGATTAGTTACCTGGGGAAAGGAGGCATGTTAAAACAAAAGGATGTCATCACAGCAAGTAACTTTTTCCCATCAACTCTTTTGAATCACTACCACATTTTAAGAGCCTGACTACTCTGGGCCATTTTACCCGGCAGAAGCACATTTTAAGGCCCACTTATGGCAGTGTCATAAGGCATTTCTGGGTCCCTGAAGTGACAGATATGCATTTTCAGGCTGTTGTCAGATAACTTTACTGTTTGTAACCTCCCTCTCTAATGGCAGGTACTGGTTTCAACAGTCACTCTCTCTCACGCACAGTGTAACAGGGAGGAGGATCTCAAATGACATTCAAAGACAGCTTCCAACACTGGGAGTAACTCTCACTTGGCAGAGGTGAAATCAGCATATCTGAATTGCATAGATTTTTAAGCTGTTGCACTGATACTGACAACACAAATACAAATCAACTGATAAGGAAAAAAAAAAAAAATCAAGAAAGTCAATAAACTTTGTGTGCTTGTGGGAAATGGAGCATGGGGAAGGGGTTGCCATTAGATGGCTCACTCTCAACATCCCTCAATCCCATCAGCTGACATGAAACAGTGACTCCTCAGATTGCTACCAGTTGGTGGGGTTTGGGTGGGCTTTTTAAATAAATTTGCCAAGACACAGCCTTGAAATCATATATTTCCCTCTAGTGATTTACTCATCCACAGTGGAAAAGAGTACTGTTCAAGTTACCAACAAATACATTCTGCTTGTAGTTCAGCTTTTAATGCCCTCCAAGCTCTAGCTCCTTAGTAGATAGGCTTTTTGAATGAAAAACAAACAACACCTCCCTCAAAAAAACAAACCCAGACACAAAACTTGCAGTTAAGATTGAATTTGGATTGAATAGCATAAACCATAACATAGTAGAGAAGCCATTTCCAGCTCATTTTTTCCTAAGATAAAGCCACATATCTGTGCCTCGATGCCAATAAGAGCATATACAATACAATCTCATTAACAACATACTAGAAGTTAAATTGCTCTGCATAAGTTTAGCATCCGCTACTCAAACCTTAATAACAAGCAAAACAGCCTTGATTTAGCAGTTTATATTCTTCTTAAAAAGCCATTCTGAAAGATGTTCCATAGCATCCTTTGCAAGACAGCCAAATGAAGAGGGAAATATTAACTTAATTATACAAGTCAGAAGAGGCAAGAGGAGGAATAAAAAACCCCACATAAAGCCAAAATACAACTGTGTTTCCTCCTCTGTGCACCACTCTGCCCCTCCCAAACACTTGAGACTTTTCTGGCGCCTTACAGAAATATGTCCCAAGTCTTCAAGTATAGTTCAAAGGCAGTAATTATAGCAAGTGGTATTTATATTGTTTTGATGCTTTTATTGTTAAATATCATAAAAAGCTCTCAGTTATTCAACTTGTAATTTACGTACTGTTAAAAGAGATGTGACATTTTCTGAACTTTCCTCCAGTGGCTTAAAAGACATTTATTTTCCTTATCTTTGTTTTATTTTCAATATTAAGATCCTTGTTCACATTTACCTTATGCTGATCTCAAGACTCCTCACTGACCACCCCAATATCCAGGGATGACTACCCACATCAGAATCATGCTTTAGCTTCCGCAGGGCACTGAATACCAATTGCTCCTTTCCTGCCCTAATTCTTATGCACTAAAGCTTTCTACTAGTCTCTGCTAGAGCTCTCACGGAAATGTATTATCTGTGATTCAGTAAAATATTCTTATCCATCAATTAATAAAAGGCACATTAGTGAAAAGGCCATTTGTTTCTTACCCCATATGGAGTACTTGCATTGGGCATACCTAGATAGTCCATTTCAAAAGCTGCTGAAATAAAGTAGAAGGAAAACACAAGATATGACCACAATTTTCTTTCCTTAATGTCTCAAGATACAAATTTCTGTTCCACTACCACACATTAACTTCTGTATGTGACCCATTTATGAAATCTGTTAAAACTGTTGTATTTTCTTAATGAGACACAAAAGGGTTCTTTAAATCATTATCTTTAAACACACTAAGGCAGAGAAATAAAGCATTTTTAATGAACATGAGAAAGTGCTGCTGAAAAGTATGGGTGGAATTGAAAAAGAATTCTGTTAGCAACAACCTGAACTTCCCTTCTATTTCTTGAGACCCCTTCAGATACAAACAAGTTCTGTATTAGAATTTACATAGAATAAAAGGTATAGTTTGTTCTCAAGCAGGTAAAAACAGCAATCGAAACAAAAGCTGTTTTTACCAGATGGGTAACATCTTCTTAGTTGAATAAGCTTAAGTATTAGAAATAAATTACTGGAAGAGTAAGAAAAATCTAATGAAATATTCACCTGTTATGCTGGTTGAGCAAACTTTCTTGCTAGTATATGTGTCTGCAGAAATATTTGTATGAGAAAAATGAGCGAAACTTCTATTTCTGAAGCCATTTTTATAGTCACACCATATGCAATAAGAAGTCTTGGACTCTTTTTCCTATCACTAGCTCCTTCAGTCATCAAGGACATCACCAAGATATTTTACCTTTAAGCTAGATGGATGCTGTTATTGTCTAAACCTTCAAATGTAAGACTCCCATACACTCACTCTTCCCTTCACTGGATTCTGTCAGTTTTTCAAGGAGAAAGAAAAAACACCTTTAGATAGCCAGAGAAATTAAGCCATACTTTATTTGGCTGTAAATACTAAGCTACATACCTGAGATGCCTGGGACCTTACAGGAACAGAAAAAGAAGAGAGTTCAAAGGATCAACAGTTCAAAGGATTGAATCCCTCGGCAGCTACAAAAGACAGCATTGAGCTGCACTGTCATTAATAGAGCAGTCTGACTTCTTGGTCTCAGTCACATGCCAGGATACAAGAAGTTATACACTCAGTGTACAGTGGGACACTGCACTTTCCGTGAACAGGGGCAAAGAAAAAGCAATGTGCGAGTAAAGTATCTTAGGTCACCTGAAGCTGCTGAACAGTGTGTTTCATGGATCAAACTATTTGTGTTGTATCTCAAAAGCAAGAAGTAGTACTTTGAAATATATAATCCATAAATAAAATACAATTGGAGTTCATACAATACAGACAGTGACTAAGCACAGGGAAAACAAACCAAAGTTAAGAAAACAGGGGAAAACAAGTTGGCTTCTAATGGCCTGTTTTAAAACACTTGCATCATTAGGAAAATTAATACTACCATAGCAATTAGAATACATAAATTGCTTGTAATATACTAACATGGTTTAAGCCATGTGGTTAAACCACAACATATATTTAAACAAATAAAGCAAAATCATTAAGGTCATTACAGTTTAAGGTTTTTTCAGTTAAGACACCAGTAATTACACAGACTATTTTACTGGTGCATTAAACATCTTTTCAAATTGTTGAAGCTGTATCTGCTGTAGAAGGTCTACAAAGAGAAGAGAAAAGAGCAATTGTTATCACCTGAGGTCTGAAAAGATGGAGTTTTAAATAGAAAGGTGGACAAATGGCCCAAGCAAGCCCTTGAACACAGCTGTAAGTTCTGTCATAAACGAGACCACAGGCTGAATAAGTAGGCACTACTGGCTTCCTTTAACAACTGCTTTTTATGTTAAAGAGTATTATCTAGCATCTGTGCTGAGATGCTTGTGACTGACAAATTCACTAACAAGCTCACCTGGAGTTGAACAAAAAGATGGGGAATACATACAAACAGCAGGGTCTCTAATTCAGGACATCTGTATCTTATTTCTACATTCCACATTCCTCCAGATGTGTGTTTTCCATTACCTGTACTTACCTCCACTGCAACACTGCTGCTGTCTTCTGTCAAAAGACTAAAGCTTTCCAAGAGACTTCTGAAATAAAGTACTTCCAAAATTTAGTTCACTGTGCCAGTCAGCTACTCTTTCTTCCAGCATTTGGCTCCACCTTCTCTCTTCCTACTGTTTGCAGATACTCAGTACTCAACATCAAGGCAGAAGCCAAGATGAAAAAATTACTGAAGCTTGATCACAGCAATAGCCTCAAAATCTTGGCTTGGGCTCAGATTCCCTTTCCTCCCAGCTTCACAAGTATAGGTACCAAATTCACTGAAGAAGGAATGAAGGCATAATTAAAGTGATGACAATAGGACCCAGTAGACTCTTTTTAAAATCCCAGCCATAGCTGACAGCAGACAGAGAAGAAACTAAACCTACATAAATATTATGCTCCTAAATACATAATTATCTCCAAAAAAATCTAAGCAATAATAAAAGTTCTAGGAAATATTCTAAGGAGTATAAATCTCCTTAGTAGTAGTAACAGATGCTTCGCAGCAACAGGGAAGCCACACAGGGTTTGCCACAATTACTTCCTAATGCTGACAAAATAAAAGCAATGTTCTTCTGCACCCCTGCCTTGCTTCAACTTCAAGGTGGCTCTGAGTTATGTTCAGTAAAAATACAGACTGAAAGGAAAAGAAGAAAAGTAATGAGGCAGTAAAGCTCCACAGGGTGTGGTTATCACCAAGGGATCACTCCCCTGGGCACTGAGCTCTGATCTTCTAAGAGGATGAATGTTTTACAAACAAGGACATTGGATTGTTTTATGAATAACTTGTGCATATATTTTTTGTGCAAGGACAGAAGATGAAATTGGCAGCTTGAAATGCCAACCAGTAGTTTCAACTGAGCAGTATGATTCACAGATTCTCTTCTCTTCAGTGTTCCTGAGATAATCAGAAAACTCCTTCTGTTCTGAAGCTAAAACAAACAAGCAAACACCAAACCACCAACTATGAAGCCCAAACATTTTTGTACATATACCACCTACCATCAAATAAAAGCAGTACTCTGATTTTTGTTGTCAGGGTCTAAACATTTCTTTGGTGGTGTCCTAATTTTTTGAGCCAGGCAGAAGCTGGCACCAAAGGGAAGAGATAAAATAAAGAAGTTTCTCAGAAGCCTTTTTCCTTCTGTTGACATTGGACTGTCCATCTCATTAGACTTGCAAATGACTGAGGATCTGCGCAAAAATACTTCAAAGATGGTAGTATGGAACACATTAGAGAAGTACCTGGACACCTCAGCTGCATGAGGAAGTCACAAGCAACAAGACTGATGCACCATAGAAGGTGGTATTAGGGCAGACAATGCATGAGAGCAGAAATGTAAGTGAGCTTACAATCATGACTTGCCCATCTACATTCTTTCCACACCAGCAGCCTCACCCTATCTCACTTTTAACTGGTAAGGATCCTCATCTCTCGAGAGCAACCAAATCCCTTCTACACAACCTTGTCTTGATAATGATACTGAATGAGACAGCCCATGTTTCTAAAACCTGGTCACACTGTTCAGGTATTGTAATCTTATGAGGCCCTGCACTATGAATCATTCAGTTAACTCCCAAACACTTTCTTCAGCTTGCTTTTACCTCAATGATGCTGCTACATAACTAACCTACTGTAGATTTCCATATTAAAAAAGAAAAAAATACATATAGTGTCTCATGATTTACATATATATATATATATATATAAAAACACTTTAAAACATGTATTACATATTGTATTTTTACGTATCTATTCCCCTCACCATACACACATTCCAACCCCATTGTTTTGCAGGATCTGCAGTTTCAACTGGAACTCAGTCCTAAAACCTATTATTAACCAAACTTTTTCTCTCCAGATCAGAACATGAAGAATAAGTTCTAGTATGTAATCTCCATTTTCAATACCTTACCAAATCAGTCAGTACAGGTAATCATACAGTTTACTACATTTCCCCTGGAGGGACTGAAAACTGCCTGTCACAACGGAGTGCAGCAAAGCTTACATGAAAGGCCTTTTTCTGCACCTCCTTCAACTAGTTTTGTTAGGGACAATTCATCTATTCCTCATGGAGAAAGTGATTCACTCCTATTACACAGGGATCTTACTGCACATAAACAGTATGGGCTTTAACTGGCAGCTTGTCAGAGACCCTAAACTCACTGGGAGAGTGCAAGAAGCTGCCACTTCAGTTTGTCTTTCAGGGCAGTCTGTATCACATACTTGGCCATATAGAACACAAGCAACATGCTGCCATGACAACCTTAATGCAAGTACTGAGATACCTGTGACAGTCTGAACAACTGCAGCAACTAGATTTCTTGGACATAAACACAGGTTTCCCCAAGAGAAATCCTGTCCCAGTCATTGACAAAAGCAGCTCACTATTACTTCAGATATTATCACAAAGAGAGAAAGAAGGAAAACTGCTCTGAATCTTAAGCAGACATTTTTTAAGAGACCAGTCCAGCCTCCAATAATCTTGTTCCTCTCTAATAAGACCTACTGACAGTCAAAATTGAAGGAGTAGCAACACTGCCTTCTTAACAGCTAATTCTGCAGCCACACAAGACTCCAAATAGAGTTTGCCATATGCCATACATTCAACATAAAACTACATTTAGTATAATGGGATAAGTATTCATGACTCTTGTACTCAGCAGGTATAGCAAGATGCTAAACTGAAAAGATTAGAAAATGAAAAGGACTGAGCATTTTTTCAATACAGTATTCTTATTAAAACCAGAAATGAATAGTGTTAAAATTGACATCAGGAGATGCCACAAAGCAAGCAGATCACACTAAAAGTGCCAAAACCCATGCACATTTAAAATAAGAGTCACACCAAAGTGTGGAAATGAACGAGATTTTACAGCCCATATGGTTGTTTCCAGCACTCCTCACATCATTGCACCTGTATCATTTAGCACACTGTCATCATCATAACAGAGAGAAGATACAAATTTCTCTTCCTGAAATGTGTACCTGAAAACACAAACATTGTAAATCTCAATGTGCTGCTTACAGCCATCAATATCATGTGCTCAGATATACTCCTCCCCAACAGTGCTTCATTTACACTTTCAATTTGAGTTTCTTCTCCATTTTACACCACTCTAACAGAGCCAATCACTGTTTGTTAATACATGTTAAGAACAGTCTTCAATCTTTACTTTGAACAGCAACATGGTCCAACAAAATAGCATCCACCACAATAACATTTTCTATTTACACAGAGTGTAGCTTCCATTTATATACTACATTTCTCACAGGAGTACTTCTAATTTCCTAAAATGACAAGTTCACATCTCTTATAGAAATTGCTCTGCATCATTAGCTTGGCAAGAATTCCATTTCATCAGAGTATCCAAGGCTAAGGATGTGTCAAAATGGAGAAGTTAATCAACATATACAGCTTTCAGAGTGATACTCAACAAGGAATTATGACCTACATCACCACAGAAAGACTATTCAACTGAGCATACAATTCCCTATCAGCCCTGCATGAAGGAATAAACAAAAAGAAGCAACACATGAATAATTGCCTTAACAAATAATGTCCATTGAATCTGTTCTAATAACATTATACTCGCAGCCATTATGACTATTCTATTTACCTAAATTAGAACAAAGAAACTCAAACTTACTGCTTGCTAGGTCACACTTTGAATATCAAGTTTGCTTGAAAATATAGTAAGACTGTTTCTTCTGTTATCTTTTCAGTTACGGACAGCCTTCCATTTTAGGAAGGCTAGTAACACGCAGCAGAGAGCGCAAAGAGTCAAATCCTCTGGCCATGGTAAAAAACAACATAAGCAACAGAAGAAAATTGGGAAGTCTCTGGTGGGATAATGAACTTTGTAAAGCAGAGAGTAAAAACAACAGAAAAGCAGCAAACCCTGTATTGCCTAATCTGCTTCTGGATTAAACTTCTGGAAATACAACATATATGCTTACTTCTAAGCAGGCACACCAAGTAGAAATGCACTCCTGGTGTCTTTAGAGGCAGCACATATTTGCCCTTCTGTATTCATCCTTTTAGACTTTTATCACCTCTGAGAGTTTCATTTCACTTTCCTATCATAACATGGCAAATTAAAAAAATGAAAACGAATAGCCTGGCAGAACTTGAAATACAAGGACTGCCTTAAAAAGAGACAAAACACTTGCAGGAAAGTGGGACTGAAATGATGAAATGACTGGGAATTTAAGCCACCAGTTGAAGTTGGTCTAATACAGAAAGTGGAAAATGTAAACACAGGCCAGTCAGTGACTGGGTCCTAGAAATTACTTTCACTGAAAACAGTATATGCTGTGACCTTCTGCCTTAAGCATACGTGGTTTCCCAGCAGCACACAGAAAAGGTGAATGGGTGAAGGCCCTGCACCATCAGGTTGTCTACCAAAATTAATGCTTCTGCAGCAAATGTACCAAAGCATTAGCGTGCTCTTCGCACTTTATACCTGCTTATGGTCAAGAAACATGCATCTAACTGAGCACTGATAGACAGTCTGGAGATGACTTAGGCCTGGATTTCCATTCTTCTGAATTAGGCATAATGCAAAGAAAAATCAGCATATGTATGTGTGAGCACATGCATATGCAGTGGAAAGGACTGTGCCAACCACATTGACTATAATGAAGTATCTAAGGTCCTTTCTGCAGCTACAGGAACTTAAAGAAGTTAACATATTTGTTTATGTGCTGATTCTTTTTAATGTTTCAGCAAAGATAATGATACAGCCACTCTGACAGGAATCATGGCTTGAAAGCTCTCAGCTGTTCTAATCCTGCCACAGCGTGGATCCTCCCAGAGGGAGGAAAAAAAATCTGAGAAATTATGGAGCCAGGGTTTTGTTTTCTCCAAAGCACAAGCCACACAGCCTTTAGGGTAAAGATTGACTATGGCGTATTAGGCAGTCACAAGAAGTTTTGAGGGAAGCAATGAATAGAAGATATCTCTCCAGTGTTTGAAAGATGAAAATATAACAAAGAATATTATGAGTAGAGTAACATTAGGACCTTACATGCCAATTAGCAAAACAAAGAGTAGTTCTAGCATCAGTTTGTGACAGGTTTCTGTACTGCTATACCTCTGTACTAAGAAAGTCATTGCTGTTATCTTTCTCTCTTTGATCTGTCATGTTTTATAGGCTTACTTCAAGTCAGCTGCTAATAAATTAAATCCATTGTAAAGATGCCCTTCTATTGAGACTGTCTTCAAGTAAGAGTAGCTGTCCAGATCTCCAGTCAAGAAGTTTGTCACAAGAGCACCTAAGAAAGAGAAGTACATAGAGCGACTTACATGCATGAATTCACTTTTCTGACAGACTTGGTAAAACAAGTAGTAAGACACAAAATTTCTGTTATCACCAGGGTATAATAGTGGGGAAGAAGTGCCCACCAAAAAAACCCACAACAAACCCACAACAAACCAACCAACCAACCAACCAGCCTTTAGAAGTCTTACAGCATTGTATCATATTCACATTAAGACCTTGACTTCTACTTTGAAGAATCCAGGCAAAAGCTCTTGGTCAAAATTTCTACAGAATTCATATTTACTAACTATTCAATACTGGATGTGCCTTTCCTCTCCTCCCATCTTGCCAAGCTCTTTCTTGTCTTGCTTCATTTCCCCAATGTGACCCAAAAACAAAATACAAAATGACAGGGTTCATTTGTTTCTCTGTGTTACATGTTTTGCCATTGCAATGTATTCCCAAAGCAGTGCCATGTGACGGTTACAAACAGACCTATTTTTACATTAGAAAATGTTCTCTTTCAGAAGAGGGTTTTTTGGATATTATTTCTGCTCCTCCAGTTTATCAATGTGTACAGAAGGGACTACAGTAATTTCAGGCTAACCTTCAGCATAATGCAAGCTGCACTGGGTGTTTGAACAACATATACATCTAAAAAAAGTCTACTGTAATCTAAATCTAGCTCAATGCTTGTCTAGTTGTTCTGACTGTTAATTAGAATTACTTTCAAGAGAAGACAGTTGGTGCTGTGTTTCTTGTTTGAATCATTATCCAAGTCAAGCTTTGAATACCACACAGGTATTCAAACTCATCAGTTCACAATTTCTGTTTACTGCACATAACCATTTCATTTGTCCATAAAGCGGTGTTAAAAAAATTCATACTGTAATCATCACTATTTTTCTGGGACACCAGGGCTTGTTTGTCCACTTCCTTCTTTTTCTATTTCTACTCCTTCATACCTCTTCCTTTTGCATTTTTATCAGTCTTTGGCTGCAAATAGTTTGTCAGGGCTGCCAGCTTGCCTTTCTTACTTATTCCCAGCCATGTCCCACCTTCTTTTCCTTCCTCCATATCCAGACCTAAGGGAATAAACAAAAGTTAGGCTACTACATTAATTAAAAGAAAATAAATCTCAATCTTAAATCCCAATTTCTTAATGCAAATCCTGAGTTGTAATCAGGCTGGATAAAATGCAGGAGGTCCAAGACCGTCTTTCTTGACAAGTGAGGTGAGCCCACTTAAATTATCCACCCTCTAATTCTGCATAATCAAACATTTTCCAAGCTACTGCAATAATTCATGAGAGAATGTGAAAATTAAATGTAAAAGCAAAATTACAAGCTTTGCCTACATGCTAAAACAGATATAAAACTAAGTAGGCTTAGAACGCTTGTTAGCTTAAAAGCAAATTTCAGAAGATTAATGTTATCTGAAGTATAAATTCACACGTAAGTAGAAAAATTCAGAGTAAGATAAGAAACAGATAAAAATCTTGGACGCTGGTGACAGTAATTCATATTGAGGGAGGGACCCACAAAAGTGAAGCCCACAACCAAACTCTTGAAAGAGAGTACAAGTTAAAAAAAAGTGCCTACTACCTGTTTGTAATGAGCTCATGTTAACCAGCAAGCATTTAACGCAAAGCTAAGAACTAGTTCAATACAATATGTATACTGTCAGAAACCTTTCAATTCTGAATCATCATCAGAAGATCAAAAGAACAGGTCTTGGATCCTTATTCAGAAACTCCTTCTTCAGTATCCAAAACTTCAATATCAAGTTCAGCCATATCACAACTTTACACAATACTTTTATTCTTGTTTCTCTACCTTAACTGAAAGGCACACAAAAGAAAGCCCTAAAGCTTTGTTGACCAGTGCCCAGTGATTACATATTCCTATTTTCTGAAACTGCTGTAAGTGCAAAATATTCTTTTCACTTTTAAGTCACGCAAAGAAGAAATCTGATCTATTTTGCTTCAACTTGCTGCTTTTGAGATAACATTATTAACTCAAAGGCAGTTATATCCCATATATTCATGGGATCTCCACAGACACACCCCCTGCATGAAGAATATCCCAGTTTCCTATGCTAAATACAGACGGATCTGACAAGGGTATAAAAGACAAAAAAATCAGGACCCTTCAGTTTCAGGATAGATTTTTGTTTGTTTTAAACTGCTACATAGCAGGAAAAGCAGCATCCAGAATGTCTGGCACAAAACAGAAACATCAGCCAGAGCATCAGAAGCAAGGGAGTCGTAGTACAGTGGGAGTAATTTATCCTCTCAGGCCTCCCTGCCAATGACAATAACACGTAACATCAACAAAGAGTATTTGCAAAGTCAAAACCTGGCATTTAAACAACGCTTTGTCTTCCAGAGCTTCATTTCTGTTTCTGAGAAAAGGCAGAAGTATTGATTATACTTACAAATGATTACAACTAGATTCTTTACAAAGGGGAATCAGACAGCTGAATGACTGTACTATCAGTTTAGCAAAATGTAGACACAAAAGCTAATAAACTGATGGATCAATAACTAAAATTATTCTGAAGCTTATAAATTATTAACCAATAATAAATGAAAAGTTTTCACTTTCTTGAGGCTGGGTTTAATGATTTTGAGACACTATTACAGACACCGAGTTTGTGGAATAACTAATTCCACTTATTTTAAGGTGTATTTCAGTATATCTGACAAAGCTAAGCTAATTGTTTCTGATGGACAAATTAATCTGATGTATTTCCACTGCACTGCTCAGACTGAAATCAGTTAAAGAATGTAAAACTGGGAAAATTCCTACAAGACATTAAAATACAAATAAGATAAGAGTAGCACAACTCATCTTTCAAACTTATGACGTTTCTCCCAGAAGTGTAGGGAAGAACCATATTTCCTTTTATACATCCAA